TATCAGACTTGTGAAGGAAGCAGCTCACAGCAGTAGTAAAGCAGTGAATATATTTTCCCTAGGGGACCAGACATCTCTAAATTAACTATTGATATGTGAGGAGTTTTCAGGGTGTCAAAGCCCAGAAAGCAATCTTCCAACCTCCTTAGCCCAATGTAATCTCATTATTAATCTCGGTTCCACAACCTGCTGGAGCATCCATCTGCCGCTTCACCCATTCCTCTGTGGTAAACCTCTTCACGCAACTGTCTTCCACGTGCCAGGATTCAGGATGTGCAGCAAACACTGCACAGCAGAATCTCTCCACTCTGAGTGCACACACATATGCACACGCAGTTTCAGATTTGTGCACTTTGATGAATTTGCATGTGTACTTGATCTTCTTCTTCTCCTTCTCCTCACAGAAGTGAGTGACAGGCAGCTGTCTGATGCACTGTTCTATTTCACTCTGTAGAAGCACAAGATCGTCCTTCTCTGCTTCAAAACCAATAATTTTCTGGGTTTTGCCATTCAAACCAATAAACAAATATCCCCCGTCAGTGTTTGCAAATGCAGAAACAGTTTGGGGGAGAATCTCTGAAATCTTTTCCTTAGGAGTCAATTTTACTTCAGCATGTGGGGATTCAGTGAAAGAGACTATCTCCTTATAGGTAAGCCGGTTTCTGTCAAATAAGTTAAGACATTCATTTGGTAATTCATTACAGATGATTTTTCCAGGTGAACTTTGTCTGGAATCTGATATCTCTGAAGTATATTTCCTGACTTTGAGGAACTGCATTGCAGCAGCTGCTTTCAGTTCATCTGAGGAAGAGATGCTTCTCCTATACAACTTGGTTTTCAAGGTGGTGATCCCCTGGCCTGTGTTATTCGGCTTCCGTGCTTTCACAAAAATGAAAAAGTAGTCTTTTTGCTGCATGAAGTCTAGGTATTCAGGCAATATATCAGGTAAGAAGTCTTTCAAGTCCAGTCCTATTCCATCTCTGGTGAAGCTGTACTTTTGATTTTTAATGTGAGCCTTGACCACGCCCCCTCCAGAATTCAGCAGGGCACACACAGCCTGTGCCATAGTTTTGGCCTCTCTTCTTCTCAGTTGACAATCTTTCATTGACTTCCTAGTCTTCTCTCCAAGTGTGATTTCTCCTACAGACAGAACCAGTTCAGCATAGTCTGTGTCCTGATTGACAGCGATGTTCATTTTCCAGTCACTGTCTCTGCTTCCCAGATGAAACCCTTTCCTGCAAGACAGACAGAGCCATTACAGAAGGACCTAAGCAGTTAGAGCCAGCATTACCAGACAGCACAACCATGTGAGCAGCTATGGATGAGCAAGCAAGGTCAGATGTGACATTTGATTAGGGGCTGTTTGAAATTTTGTACTGACTACAATGATGGACACTCACTAAATTTTCAGGGTCGAGGTCATGACTGTGTTCGATCCTCTTTTAACTATTTTGAATTAAGAAACTTCTTTGCATCTATGCATCCTACCTGGCACTGTGTTGTATATTGAACTAAAAAATATCTTTAGCCAAATGTATTTTATATTTTATGAGTGTTTTGTCTGCATGTATGTATGTGTATCACGGAGATGCCTGGTCCCACTGGAGGTCAGAAGAGGTTTTGGATCCTTCAAGGCTGGAGATATGGGTGCTTTTGAGCTCCAGTGTAAGTGCTGGGAATTGGACCCTGGTCCTCTATAAGAGCAACAAGACATCTTACACTGTGAGCCAACACTCCAGCCCTACAAAAAGACATTTAACTTAAGTGCATCCTGTACACTGAGTGTGTTCTCCTGTCTAACTTCTTTGCTGTTTTCCTCTCATCTGCTCCCTTAGATAAATTCAGCTACACACACACACACACACACACACACACACACACACACACACACACGGTTGCTCAGATGTTTAATATATACACTCTAGGAACTACATCTGAGAGGAAATTTATGAGATTTGTCATTCTGAGACTGGCTTGGTTCACTTCATCTGATTCTGTCCTGTGGTACAATCCCCTTCTCTTTCTTTTGTGGAAGTTGGGGTAACGGTCAGGGTTCTGCATTTGTCAGAAAAGCATTCTTCAGGAAGCATGGCCCAGCCCCTCTCCTGCTTTAACGTGACTGTTCTCCATTTTCCAGCTCCCTCCTGGTGTGGCTTCTATGATCTGGAATCCTGATTTTCTCTTTTCCTTCTCTCAGGACCTTTCCCCCAATCTCATGAAGTCGTATTTGAGCACTGTTCAGGAACATTCTGTCGAAGTCCTAGCACATTCTCTGTCTCTTCTGCCTGTCCTGATGCTGCTTTCCAGTTCTCCCCACTATGACAAAAGCAACCAGTTTACAAACCGTGAATCCTGCCATCTTCCTGGCTTGGCATGCCGTCCTCCCTGAAGAATATTCCCTGGACACTTGAGTGGAGCAGAGGGCTCTGTGAATGTCTGTGGATCCACATCTTTCACCAACTGTGGGGTGTTTCCAGCCATCTCTCCTTCAGATAACTTCTTAACTCTGTCTGACTTCAGATTCTGGGGACAGAAACACTGTGTCAGTCATCATAACTATGCTCCACACAGTGTTGGGTTCTGTGTGTTTTCTTCAGTTCCTTTTTATGCTCCTTGGACTTCAGGACTTCACTGGTCTTTAACTTTACTGATTCATTTTTTGCTGCCTAGCAAGTCTGGAAATGAACCTTACTAAATATTTCTTTGAGATTCAATTAGTGAGGACTTATACATCCTGTCTTGTTCCTTTCTGTGATATTGAATGACTTCATTTATTCTCAAAAGTAGCTATCCTAGTTCCCACCCATAGTAGGACTAGTCCTCAGAATCTCAGGCAGGGCAACTCCAGCTTGCAGTAAGGCTTCTCCTTCCCTGTTGGACATGGCAGACTACAGGAAGAGAACCATGCTTCTCACTCTTGGACAGTGAGTGATGATATCTGCAGAATCCTAATAAAGGCTCAGAGGGAGTGCCCAGAGATGTCTTAGCAGCAAAAATCAGTGCCTGCTCTTCCAAAGGACTCCTGTACAATTCCCAGCATTCATATGTTGGCTCACAACCATTTATAACTCAGATATGAGGTACTAAAGCAACCATTCAGGCAAAACACTGCTACATACAAAATCCATAAGTAAATTTAAAATATTATTTTAAACACAAATTTCCCATGATGCTTATATGTTTGAATTAAGGCTTCCTCAACTGTGGCCCCAATAGCGTATCTCTGCAGTGGTCGGCAGCAGTACAGAGATTCAGTGCTGCTCAGAGTGTGGAGAATTATTGAGGATTCAGTGCCCCTCCTTAAATGGACCATCAACACGACCTGCCCTCTCAGGTTCAGGGTACACTGTCACAGCAAGCGCAGTAAAGGATGTCAGAGTCCAGAGCTGGGGGCTGGGGGAATGGACACATGTTTACGAAAACATGCTATTCTCCTACAGAACCTAGGTTTGCTTCACTGCACTGACTTAACAGCTCTCTACCATCTGTAACTCCTGATCCAGGATTAGAAAGACTATTCTAGCCTCTGTAGGCAGTGTGCACAACCCATGTACACAAACATGCACACAGACAAAACACATGTACATATAGAATATGAATCAAATTAATCCCCTTTTAACGAAAGGCTGTAAAATCTGGAGGAGAGGAATGAATGAGACATGCTGTCTTCCTGGCATGACAGGGCCACTGCACTCATGGCTTCCTGACGCTGTCTTCAAGGCATTCCAATGCCACTGGACATGGCTTCCTGATGCTGTCTTCCAGGCATGACAGGGCCACTGCACTCATGGCTTCCTGTAGTGTCATTACCTGCCCACAATCAGTCAACAAGGCCATTCACGATTCCAGCAGGCAGCATTAACTGGACTCTGTGGGTCATAATTAATCAGTTAATTAAATGGAGAGATCAAGTGGGAAGGGACTAGAAATGCATTTAGGGAATTGTTTTAGGGGAGGGAAGTGCATGAGAACAGGATACATTGTTACAAACATGAAATTATCCCAAGAATAAATAAAAGATATTCTATTGTGGTAAAAAACCAACCAAACAAACAAACACTGAAGTTGCACTCCTGGGCACGTATCCTAAAGCATCTAGGCCATCGCACCTGTACACTTGTGGGTTGTCTTCCTGTTCATAACAGCTGAGTTTGTGAACAGGCGAAGGGCCCTATCAGCAGGTGAGTGAATGAGGAAATCAGCGTGTGCGCAATTAAGCTCCCTACATGCTCAGCGCTGACTGAGGGCTTACTCAGCCATAAGGAAGAAGAGAATCCATCACTGTAGGAAAGAAGATGGAGCTGAAGACTATAGTATGTGAAGTGATTCAGAAACACCAATCATGTGTGTTTTCTCTCAGATGCAGAATGCACTTTTTAAAAGGTCTTAACGTATGTGGTATTTTAAAAGGTATTAACGAACAACATGTTTGAAGAATTAACATATGTAGGAAGAGAAACAGGAGTGGGAGGGGCAGAAGAGGGAGTCAACGGGGTTCCCATGATCAAAGGACATCTCGTTTCTGATAATGTCATAGCAAAATCTTTATTCTGTAAAACTACTCTCAATTAATAACAAAGAGGCTCATGTCAATGCAAAAATCATCACCAACAACAACATATCATCTTTCTCACAGTCTAACTTTCTGTCCATGCTGTTTCTAACCTGCAACTTCCTTTGTTGATTTGACACTAGAGGGCACTCAGACACAAAGTGACAGCAGAGACAGCCATATAACACAGGGGCTGGAGAGATGTGGCAGAATTTCACTGACTTGACCAACATCAATTAATGCAATGTGTGTCCACTACTATGGGGTAACCTGCAGTGAACTCATTTTTCTCCTGGAACTGAGTTTTCATGAGTCACTGTGACTGTCAGTGCTATCTAGGTAGATACACTCAGGACTCTTTTATGCACTGTAAATTTTCAACTCTATGAATATGTTTACAGGTGCTGTGTTGTATTATTGTCCTTTAAAATGTTTTTTACTTGTATGGGTGTTTATCCTTTGTGTATGTTTGTGAACCACCTGTGTGCCTGGTGCCTTTGGAATCCAGAAGATGACATCAGGATGTATGATTTGGAGTTTAAAATGGTTGTGAGCTGCTCTGTGGGTGCCAGAAATAGACTCCATCCAGGTCACATAGAAGATCAGCCAGTGTTCTGAATTTCTGACTCATCTATGCATGACTCCCCCTTCTCATGTATCTATGTCTCTCTTCTCTTCTTTCCTCTCCTCTCTCCTTTCTACTTCTCTCTTTCCTTCTTTTTCTTTCTTTCTTTCTTTCTTTCTTTCTTTCTTTCTTTCTTCCTTTCTTTCTGTCTTTCTTTCTTTCTTTCTTTCTTTCTGTCTGTCTTTCTTTCTTTCCTTCTTTCCTTCTTCCTTCTTTCCTTCTTTCTCTTTTTACTGACAGAGATGCTGTGTATTCGGAAAAAACTAAACAACTCAACTCTAGATGATTCTTTCACTCCTGGGTTGGTGATTTGCACTTGTCTTGGGAAAGGGAAGCTCTAGCCTTCTGGATTGTAAACTTACACAGAAGCATCTTTCTGGCTCTAGAGTAGAGGTTGTACCCTTTCTGCAGCCATGTTTTCTCAATGTTCAACAGAATCAGGTCTCTTAAGAGGATAGGGAGCCCACAAGGGACTCTGGAGATTCACACAAGCCTGTCAAGCATCCCTCACCCAGACCTGCCTCTTCCTACCTCACTAGTCAGCCTCAGAACAAGCACCATGGGCTCTCTCCAGCAACTGTGAGCCCTCCCTCCATCTCAAAGAGGAAGTCATTTTCTCTCACCCCAAGCTTTCAGAGTCCCCAAGTCCTCAGCAGCGGGTGCTTTGAGAGATAGCTGTGAAGATGCCAAGGAGCCAAGATTCCTAGAAGGAAAACAGCCAGAGTTAACCTGAGAGGGAAGGGTTGTGCTGGCAACTGCTACCC